ACCCACCAGCAGTGTGAGGAGACCTGAAAGTGGCACATGGCAGCAGCAGTGTGGGCGATGGAGACAGCAGCAATGGGAGGCCGTACAGGGACCCATGACACACTCTGGACCTGGCAGCAGCATGAGGAGGCGGTACAGGGGCCCATGGCAGATTACGGGCCTGGCAGCAGCAATGGGAGGCCCGTAATCTGCCAGCACCCCACCCTATGACAAAATGGAACCCACCAGCAGTGTGAGGAGACCTGAAAGTGGCACATGGCAGAGTGTGTGGCGGCGATGGAGACAGCAGCAATGGGAGGGGACCCGTACAGGGACCCATGACACACTCTGGACCTGCCTGGCAGCAGAGGAGGAGGTACGGTACAGGGGCCCATGGCAGATTACGGGCCTGGCAGCAGCAGCAATGGGAGGCCCGTAATCTGCCAGCACCTATGACAAAATGGAACCCCACCACCAGCAGTGTGAGGAGACCTGAAAGTGGCACATGGCAGAGTGTGGCGATGGAGACATGGGCCCCTGGCCCTGGCCACGCTTGACTTTCTGGCCACATAGTCGACATACTACGGCTACGTTTACTTCTCGGGCGGGCTTGACGAAAAATTGCCACACCGCCGAGTAGGAAACTTTGCCCCCCCGCTACTCCTCACTGGCTGACTGCTACTTCCTCCGTGCACACCGGCACCACTACTGGCCGTGGTGGTAGGCTGCAGTGGAGCTGGTGCTCTACTCCGTGGCCGTTTGCCTCCACTGACACTGCTGCGACCCTGCTGCCTCCTGGGCAACCCACCGACTGTTTTGCTCGCTGCCAAGCTGGGCACCCTCTTCTCCTGATGATGCGGAAGCAATAGCCTGATGACGACGAGGCTGCCAAGTGCGATCAGCCTCATCATCATCATCAATTAGGGTCTCCGCCTCACTACTAGCCCCTCGGCTGCGTGTGTGGTCAGGAGACAGACCTGTCTCTCTAGACCGGCTACCGAGCCACTCTCCTCGCCAGTACTTCTTCGCCTGGCTGCTGAAGAGGCGGATGTCTCCCCCCGTTCCTGACCGCCCTCTGTTGCTCTTCCTCACTGTACAGTGGGGCTGAGCCCACAGCATGCGATACTTCGCTTGGTGAGGGAACACCAAAGGACAGGGGCAGGTAGAGGACACGTGATTTCAGTGGGCTTGCTCCCGGGCCATGCCAACTAACGGTTGTGTCTGACGTACCCACCGACCGTTGGCTGTAGGTGTCAGAGGTGACCTGGGAAGAGGAAGACGACCGAGCCAACCAATCGATGACGGCAGGGTTGTCGGTGGAGACACGACCGCTGGATGACACCGGGAGCACTGGCCTCTGGCTGCGACTAGTGCTGCCTCGACCCCTTCCTCTGCTGCCACGTCTGCTCGCTCCTGAAACATTGCCTCCTCTGCCACTCCTCTGCGTTGTCTGTCTGTCATACTCTTTGAGTAACAATTCTGTGTCCCTGAGTAACAATTCTGTGTCCCTGAGTAACAATTCTGTGTCCCTGAGTAACAATTCTGTGTCCCTGAGTAACAATTCTGTGTCCCTGAGTAACAATTGTGTCCCTGTGTCCCTGAGTAGTAACAATTCTGTGTCTGTCCCTGAGTAACAATTCTGTGTCCCTGAGTAACAATTCTGTGTCCCTGAGTAACAATTCTGTGTCCCCCTGAGTAACAATTCTGTGTCCCTGAGTAACAATTCTGTGTCCCTGAGTAACAATTCTGTGTCTGTCCCTGAGTAACAATTCTGTGTCCCTGTAGTAACAATTCTGTGTCCCTGAGTAACAATTCTGTGTCCCTCAGTAAACAATTCTGTGTCCCTGAGTAACAATTCTGTGTCCCTCAGTAAACAATTCTGTGTCCCTCAGTAACAATTCTGTGTCTGTCCCTGAGTAACAATTCTGTGTCCCTGAGTAACCCTGAGTAACACATTCTGTGTCCCTGTCCCAATTCTGTGTCCCTGAGTAACAATTTGTGTGTCCCTCAGTAACAATTCTGTGTGTCCCTGTAACAATTCTGTGTCCCTCAGTAACAATTCTGTGTCTGTGTCCTCTGAGTAACAATTCTGTCTGTCCCTGTCCTCTGTGTCCCTCAGTAACAATTCTGTGTCCCTGAGTAACAATTCTGTGTCCCTCAGTAACAATTCTGTGTCTGTCCTGAGTAACAATTCTGTGTCCCTGAGTAACAATTCTGTGTCCCTGAGTAACAATTCTGTGTCCCTGAGTAACAATTCTGTGTCCCTGAGTAACAATTGTGTCCCCTCAGTAACAATTCTGTGTCCCTCAGTAACAATTCTGTGTCCCTGAGTAACAATTCTGTGTCCCTGAGTAACAATTCTGTGTCCCTGAGTAACAATTCTGTGTCCCTGAGTAACAATTCTGTGTCCCTGTCCAATTCTGTGTCCCTGAGTAACAATTCTGTGTCCCTGAGTAACAATTCTGTGTCCCTGAGTAACAATTCTGTGTCCCCTGAGTAACAATTTCTGTGTCCCTGAGTAACAATTCTGTGTCCCTCAGTAACAATTCTGTGTCCCTGAGTAACAATTCTGTGTCCCTCAGTAACAATTCTGTGTCCCAATGTGTCCCTGTAACAATTCTGTGTCCCTGAGTAACAATTCTGTGTCCTGAGTAACAATTCTGTGTCCCTCAGTAACAATTCTGTGTCTGTCCTGAGTAACAATTCTGTGTCCCTGAGTAACAATTCTGTTCTGTGTCCCTGAGTAACAATTCTGTGTCCCTGAGTAAACAATTCTGTGTCCCTCAGTAACAATTCTGTCCCCTCAGTAACAATTCTGTGTCCCTGAGTAACAATTCTGTGTCCCTCAGTAACAATTCTGTGTCCCTGTAACAATTCTGTGTCCCCTGAGTAACAATTCTGTGTCCCTGAGTAACAATTCTGTGTCCCTGAGTAACAATTCTGTGTCCCTGAGTAACAATTCTGTGTCCCTGAGTAACAATTCTGTGTCCCTGAGTAACAATTCTGTGTCCCTGAGTAACAATTCTGTGTCCCTGAGTAACAAATTCTGTGTCCCTGAGTAACAATTCTGTGTCCCTCAGTAACAATTCTGTGTCCCTGAGTAACAATTCTGTGTCCCTCAGTAACAATTCTGTGTCCCTCAGTAAAACAATTCTGTGTCCCTCAGTAACAATTCTGTGTCTGTCCTGAGTAACAATTCTGTGTCCCTCAGTAAACAATTCTGTGTCCCTGAGTAACAATTCTGTGTCCCTGAGTAACAATTCTGTGTCCCTGAGTAACAATTCTGTGTCCCTGAGTAACAATTCTGTGTCCCTGAGTAACAATTCTGTGTCCCTGAGTAACAATTCTGTGTCCCTGAGTAACAATTCTGTGTCCCTGAGTAACAATTCTGTGTCCCTGAGTAACAATTCTGTGTCCCTCAGTAACAATTCTGTGTCCCTGAGTAACAATTCTGTGTCCCTCAGTAACAATTCTGTGTCCCTGAGTAAACAATTCTGTGTCCCTGAGTAACAATTCTGTGTCCCTGAGTAACAATTCTGTGTCCCTGAGTAACAATTCTGTGTCCCTCAGTAACAATTCTGTGTCCCTGAGTAACAATTCTGTGTCCCTCAGTAACAATTCTGTGTCCCTCAGTAACAATTTCTGTGTCTGTCCCTGAGTAACAATTCTGTGTCCCTGAGTAACAATTGTCCCTGAGTAACAATTCTGTGTCCCTGAGTAACAATTTCTGTGTCCCTGAGTAACAATTCTGTGTCCCTGAGTAACAATTCTGTGTCCCTGAGTAACAATTCTGTGTCCCTGAGTAACAATTCTGTGTCCCTCAGTAACAATTCTGTGTCCCTCAGAGTAACAATTCTGTGTCCCTGAGTAACAATTCTGTGTCCCTGAGTAACAATTCTGTGTCTGTCCCTGAGTAACAATTCTGTGTCCCCTCAGTAACAATTTCTGTGTCCCTGAGTAACAATTTCTGTGTCCCTGAGTAACAATTCTGTGTCCCTGAGTAACAATTCTGTGTCCCTGAGTAACAATTCTGTGTCCCTGAGTAACAATTCTGTGTCCCTCAGTAACAATTCTGTGTCTCCCAATTCTGTGTCCCTCAGTAACAATTCTGTGTCCCTCAGTAACAATTCTGTGTCCCTCAGTAACAATTCTGTGTCCCTGAGTAACAATTCTGTGTCCCTGAGTAACAATTCTGTGTCCCTGAGTAACAATTCTGTGTCCCTGAGTAACAATTCTGTGTCCCTGAGAGTAACAATTCTGTGTCCCTGAGTAACAATTCTGTGTCCCTGAGTAACAATTCTGTGTCCCTGAGTAACAATTCTGTGTCCCTGAGTAACAATTCTGTGTCCCTCAGTAACAATTCTGTGTCTGTCCCTGAGTAACAATTCTGTGTCCCTGAGTAACAAATTCTGTGTCCCTGAGTAACAATTCTGTGTCCCTCAGTAACAATTCTGTGTCCCTCAGTAACAATTCTGTGTCTGTGTCCCCTGAGTAACAATTCTGTGTCCCTGAGTAACAATTCTGTGTCCCTGAGTAACAATTCTGTGTCCCTGAGTAACAATTCTGTGTCCCTCAGTAACAATTCTGTGTCCCTCAGTAACAATTCTGTGTCCCCTGAGTAACAATTCTGTGTCCCTGAGTAACAATTCTGTGTCCCTGAGTAACAATTCTGTGTCCCTGAGTAACAATTCTGTGTCCCTGAGTAACAATTCTGTGTCCCTGAGTAACAATTCTGTGTCCCTCAGTAACAATTCTGTGTCCTCAGTAACAATTCTGTGTCCCTCAGTAACAATTCTGTGTCTGTCCCTGAGTAACAATTCTGTGTCCCTCAGTAACAATTCTGTGTCCCTCAGTAACAATTCTGTGTCCCTGAGTAACAATTCTGTGTCCCTGAGTAACAATTCTGTGTCCCTGAGTAACAATTCTGTGTCCCTGAGTAACAATTCTGTGTCCCTGAGTAACAATTCTGTGTCCCTCAGTAACAATTCTGTGTCCCTCAGTAACAATTCTGTGTCCCCTGAGTAACAATTCTGTGTCCCTCAGTAACAATTCTGTGTCCCTCCCTGAGTAACAATTCTGTGTCCCTGAGTAACAATTCTGTGTCCCTGAGTAACAAATCTGTGTCCCTGAGGTAACAATTCTGTGTCCCCTGAGTAACAATTCTGTGTCCCTAGTAACAATTCTGTGTCCCTCAGTAACAATTCTGTGTCCCTCAGTAACAATTCTGTGTCCCTCAGTAACAATTCTGTGTCTGTCCCTGAGTAACAATTCTGTGTCCCTCAGTAACAATTCTGTGTCCCTCAGTAACAATTCTGTGTCCCTCAGTAACAATTCTGTGTCCCTGAGTAACAATTCTGTGTCCCTGAGTAACAATTCTGTGTCCCTGAGTAACAATTCTGTGTCCCTGAGTAACAATTCTGTGTCCCTGAGTAACAATTCTGTGTCCCTGAGTAACAATTCTGTGTCCCTGAGTAACAATTCTGTGTCCCTGAGTAACAATTCTGTGTCCCTCAGTAACAATTCTGTGTCCCTCAGTAACAATTCTGTGTGTCTCTGTGTCTGTGTCCCTGAGTAACAATTCTGTGTCCCTGAGTAACAATTCTGTGTCCCTCAGTAACAATTCTGTGTCCCTCAGTAACAATTCTGTGTCCCTCAGTAACAATTCTGTGTCCCCCTCAGTAACAATTCTGTGTCCCTGTCCCTGAGTAAACAATTCTGTGTCCCTGAGTAAATTCTGTGTCCCTGAGTAACAATTCTGTGTCCCTGAGTAACAGTTCTGTGTCCCTGAGTAACAGTTCTGTGTCCCTGAGTAACAATTCTGTGTCCCTGAGTAACAATTCTGTGTCCCTCAGTAACAATTCTGTGTCCCTCAGTAACAATTCTGTGTATGTCCGAGTAACAGTTGTGTGTCCCTGAGTAACAGTTGTGTGTCCCTGAGTAACAATTCTGTGTCCCTGAGTAACAATTCTGTGTCCCTAAGTAACGATTCTGTGGCCCTAAAGTCTCTTTGGCCCTAACTCTGTCCCTAATACAGAGAGGTCTGTCTCTCTTGAATGACCGGAGGCTAATGGAGAATTCTAAGATGGCCGCAATTTATAGCTCGACCATTACACAGTGCTGGCTGGCTGGCTGCTGATTGGCTAATGCGATCAAATGAATGCATTATGGGTCAGCGCGCCTTGTCTGCGCGCCTTCCCAGAGATCCCCGCTCCGTCGCCACACATGTCGCCGCCATTTTTGGGAAAATTTGATTCGCGCATCCGAAGTTGGCTAATCTTCGGATTCGTCGCGAATCGAATATTTCCCAATATTCAAAACGAATTCCACTTCGCCATGTTCGATTCGCTCATCTCTAATGCCAATGATATTTTTTGCTGTCTGAAAGGGTGTCAACCAAAGTAAGGGACTTTTTTCTGGAGCAGAAATGTTGAGAATGACTGCTCTGTTGTAGGAGTCTCCAAACTGGGGCTATTTGCTTGCTTTTATCCAGTCCTTGGGGCAATATTTCATCCATTGGTATCAACAATGGGGCATAATTCCCCCCACTGTCACCAACGAAAGAGCACAATTCCTCCCAATGACAACAAAGAAAGATTGAGCACAAATCCTCCCAATGACACCAACGATGGGGCACTATTCCTCCCAACAACACCAATGATGGGGCGCAATGGCACCGATGATGGAGCATTGTTTACTAATGCTGGGACATTTTCTACTCCCGATGGCCACAGTCTGGCCCCCCTAAAGTCTGAAGGACAGCAAACTGGCCCTTTGCTTAGAAAGCTTGGAGACCCAGCAAACCATTGCGCCCTGAGCAGCCGCCCCCTCCCGCCCCACTTGTCCTGGCCCTGAGTGTGTGACAATATACAGTATCAGGTCTACCCCCTCCTGCCCCAGACATTACCATCCCCCACCCCCAGCGCCCTCAACCTCTCTATACCTCTCACCTCCTGCCTGGTGAAATGTGACCAACGCGGCTCTTTCATCCGATAACATCTCCACATCTTCTACACTCCCTCTCTGTTCCTTTTACTCTCGAAGTAAAGTGTGACCATGTCCTCCGGGGTATTGGGGGGGATCCCCTCCACTCGGACACTTCTGGTTTCTTCCAGACTCCTCGCTGTTAGTTTATGCTTTTTTATTCTTGGGCTACTGGAGAATTTTTCAATGAAATCTGCAATATCTGTGAATAGAGACACCACATCCCAGTGAATACATAGATACACGTATATTCCCAACCCAGCCCTAGTATTCTGGCATTTGCTTAAAGATCATGGAACTATTGGGTTACATTTATGTGATAATTCCCTCTAGTGTTCTCTAGAATTGTTACATTGTATCTCTTATTACAAAGATGTATGTATTTCCTTTGCTCCCCAGCTCCATCTAATGGCCATAATGTGGTAGTTCACTGTCCGTAATAAAACAATATTTATGCAGGAGCTTTTTGATCATGTGACATCTGGTCACATGATCAGAAATCCCGCCTCCCGGCATCTGAAACCCCCTAAAAGGGCTGCGAGGTGCCAGTGCCAAGGGTTTAAAAAAAAAAAGGGAAAAGTGTATGTACTGGGGAGATGTACTGACTATGTTTTGTATTCTATTTTGTCCTGATGTGCATTTTTACATTTTGCTCAGTTTCTCCATCTAGCCTGAGGGCCAGTGCACACCAAAACACAGTGTGTGGGGGCCAATGAATTGTTAATGGTGCCCCAAATGCATCTCACAAATGCAGTGCATTATGGTACGGTAGTTCCATGCAATTTGGTGCAGTGTGTGCTGAACAAGTAGCTCTTGCAGTACTTTTTCCACATTCCAGTGCATTTTGTAGCCCATTCAAATGAATGGGCTGCAACACTGGACCACATGGGAACATGTAGGAAACACACGGGAAGGAGCATGTTCCGGTACGAATCGGCCCTGAAAGTTGCTGTCTGAAGCCTCAGAGAGGTCCCGTTACTGGACCTGATGGGCATCATAAAATGGATAAAAGCCATCACCCTCCCATCTATATACATGCATGCCTCCTGCCTGGTTTGGTACTGGTTGGATGTCGGTGGTAGCGATACGTCAATAGTGATTCCCAATCTGTGGAGTGCAGTTCATATGTGCAATTATTCTATTTATTTTACCCCCATAATGGTGCAAACATCGGCCGCACAAGGTAAGGCCTGTTAGGGTTGGACGCCTTCACAAGACTGTCTAGCGTGTTAAAGAATTAGTGAGCAGTTCACAGGAGGGTCCTTCTCCAAATGTTGGCCCTGCAACTTCCCTCACATCAAGTCACTGATTAATGTAAAATGGAGGAAAAAGAGAAATATTTCCACAGCCCAAACCAACCAATCACATGTCATCTTCTGCTCTCTAAGAAGAACTCTAAGATAAAACATGGAATTTGATTCGTTGTTATGGAGTTGTTCATAAATCGTTGTCTTTGTTGGGTGTCTGACCTATATCACATGTGAAGGTGATGACGGCAGATTGGATCTCCGGAATCCTCTCTATGTAGAAGTCCGTGTCCATGGATCTGTCACTGATATTCTCCACCAGGAGGTTGAACATCTGAGGAGTGTGTCTGTCCTGGATGTTCTCAATCAGAACCAGAGAGGGACGAGTGGCTGGGTGACACCTCTTCTTTCTCTGGAGTTGGTTTCCCTGGAAAAATTGGAAGAAATGATAAAAGTGCATTAAACATGGACATATTACTGCTCTGTCCCAACGATCTCCAACCATCCATAGTTATCCTTCCCATTATGTACATATAAAGCTCAGCCATGGGTCGTGGTAACATCCTCCTTCCTCCTCCAGAACATACTCAGCTATGTCTGTGTTTCCCATGAGAACAGTTGGCAGTTTATTTTATTTTTTTTGAAGTACATTTTCTACCTGTCATTTGTGGAACCCATTGAAATGTTATTACTTGCAATACATTAAAATGGACATTAGATGATGGTGGCCTGCAATTCAGGGTCACTCACATGGACAGAACATCCCTCTGGGACTAGTATGCTAAATAACAGAACTCAGCTGGTGAGCAGGGCAGTCAGGAACTACATTTCCCTGGAATAGTAGCGTGTGGGCGGCGGCATTTAAATATCAAATGCCCGGGAGATTGGTCAGGAGAGTGCGGGGAGAGACAGAAGGCGAAGAAGGTGTGCTGATGGCTAAAGTGCTGAACTTGGCCGCTTAGCCAGGGTTGGAGAGAGAGGAAGAGCTGAAAGAGCCTACTGAACATCCGGTCTGCCATGCTGCCCAGCAGGCCAACCTGACGCCGAGTCTGAGCCAGAGAGTCCATGGACTGACCCTGTTTGCAGAGAAAAACAGATGGACTACTCTGACCGGGTGAGAGACCCATGCACCCACTAATCCAGTGAATACTGACAGTTTGCCACCTCAGCTATCTGCCTACACATAGTTGTGAACATTACATATAGTGACTTCAGTTTGTGGCCTAGTTCTCCCAGCCACCATTGTTGGGACACATCTGCATTACAGTTTATTTCGACAAGCTGAATGCAGGACATAAGGTTGCAGGCCAGGATACAGCATTTTGCCTTTGATATTCAGAGGGAGTTGTCTTTTGCCCATTTACACTTGTGCCAATTGTTGCTATTCATTACTTCATGCCTGCCCAGTGTTTAGTGCTTTAAAGGGGACCCCACCCTAATTTGCTACCATCAAGAGGAAAAGTGTTAAATCCCCTTTGTTCCTTCACTATCTTTGTGTTGCCATCCAAAGGAACTACAGTATATTTCACACCTTAACACAACTTCATACCAACTGGGCCCCAGTGAGCGCACAGAAGACACTTTAGTGTTCTTATCCAATTTCCAACCACACTATAGCTGAAATACAGCTACAGCGCAGTTGTCTAGTTCTGGGAGGGTGTCCATGGACGTCCTCCCAGAACACACCCCCTGCGCGCACCCAGCGCCGCCACTGATTGCTGTGTCCTACAGACACAGCTGATCACAGGATACAGTAAATGGCCAATGTGACGAACCGTCCCTTTGCGATAACATTTTGCCCTTTCTGTTGCGGTTTTATCCCCTTGGTAAGTGGTCTTCCCGTTCTCCCCTTGGTAAGTGGTCTTTCCCGTTCTCCCCTTGGTAAGCGGTCTTCCCGTTCTCCCCTTGGTAAGCGGTCTTCCCGTTCTCCCCTTGGTAAGCGGGTCTTCCCGTTCTCCCCTTGGTAAGTGGTCTTCCCGTTCTCCCCTTGGTAAGTGGTCTTCCCGTTCTCCCCTTTGTAAAGCTGTATATGTTTAGCAGCTGTTATGTAGACAGACATTCTACACTGTGTTTAAGGTAATGTGACCTTGTAGTCTTTCACTTTCATACTGTGCTGTTGTGTTGTAGAGTTTTGTTGTGGGTGAGGAAAACCAGGTGCCAGACTGTCTGGTGGGGATGGGGGTGAAGGGGGCAGGGATTACTTCCAGCATGTGCTATATAAACTGAGTTGTGTTCATTAAAGATTCATTCATTCACCCTACACGAAGTTCTG